AAAAAAAAAAAAGAAAAAGAAAAAAAGGAAAAGGTTGTGCGAGCTGCTGTAGTGGAAGGTGTCCCTGCCCATGGAGGTGGGGTTGGAACGAGAGGAGCTTTAAGGTCTCTCCTAACTCAAAGCAGCCACAGCGAGCCCGTGATCCTGCGCCTTTCCCGGCGGGAAGCTGCAGCCGGAGCTGCGTTACCTTCAGCACAGGCTCCGTCCATAAAGCACCCAGCACAGGATTTATGGATTGAGCCTTCCCGGCTGCGCCTGCCGCTCCCCGCTGCGGCTGCTCCCGGCGCCGGGCCCGCGGGGCGAGTTCAAGGTTTGTCAGAGCCGGAGAGCCCGGCAGGCGTTTCACGGCAATTGGATGTCTGGGACTTTTATGGGCAGCAGCAGGAGGAGGAGGAGGAGGAGGAGGAGGAGGAGGAAAAACTTCCCCGCGGCCGGGCAGAGCTGCCAGGCCCGCGCAGGTGAGTGCGGCTCCATCCCGGCCCGGCCCGGCCCGGATTGAAGCGCTGCCCTCGCTCCATCCCTGCCCGGCTGTTCGCTTCCACCTGATCAATAAAATCGTGTTATCGATCCCGCGCTCCTCCGCAGCCCAGGAAAAGCGGGAAGGGTCAGAGGGGCAGGGAGGGATTTGGGTGCCCGCAAGGGTCAGGGGGACAAGGTGACAGCGCCTGGGGCTCACTGGGGAGAGCCGGGGGCTGCCTGCGGGGATGGGGTGTGGGGGTGTCACGGGGGATACAGAAAAGGGGGTGCACGCTGCGGGATGAGCGCTGCAAGAGCCGGGCTGCACCGAGAAGCTGCAGGGGTGGGGATCAGGGGTGCCCAGCCCTGGGAAGGGATCCCGGGGCTCCCCGGAGACCCGCAGGGCTCCCGCTGCTCCCCCCGGCCCGCGGGGCTCAGCGGCCGGGTCAGGCGGAGTGTGCCCGGCCTGCAGAGAGCCGCCGCCCGCTCCCTTTGTCAATGTCCAGTAATTAAAATGTCACCGTTTAATTTTCAGGCCTCTCGGAGCAATCTTTTCCTAATAAAGAGCCTAATCGAAACGCTCCTTCCCCCGCCTCGGCGGGAAGGGCCGCGGAAGAGGCTGCGGAGGTGCAGAGCCGCCGCGGATCGATGGAGAGAAGCCCGGATTGATCGGCCTCTAAAATTAAATTTATTGGGGTCATGGTTTTATATGGTGCTGATACAACTGTTAAATGGGGAACATTCATTTCCAATAGGAGGCGTTTATTAAACTTCCACTGAATTAGACCGCCGTGATTTATGTGGCAATCTCGGCTCAGCCCTCCAGGAGCGCGGGGCCTTCCGCGCCCGCCACGCGTGATTATTTATTTATACACCCGTGACACGGCTCCCTAAGTTTTAACCTAAATTATCCACCGGCTTCGCCTGCCGGCGGCACCGGCCCGGGGAACGGGGAAGGATGGGGGGTCCCGTCGGGCCGCTGCGCCCTCCCCGCCGGCCGCGGCCCCTCCGCGCCCCCGGCCCCGGGGGTGTCCCGGGGGGGTCCCCGGTTTGGGGGGCGGCGGAGCCCGCAAACGTCCCGGTTCTCGCGTGCGGCGATCGTTGAGCGTTAATTAGAAATTCATTACAATTAAAAGCCGCGCGCACACGCCTTAATTACATCTGATTTTTAATTCCGAATCCGTGTTTACACAGTAAGCGAGACGTACCTCCTGATTATCCCCAATACTCTTTATACTGTACTAATTATGTAAATTAAACCTAATTAACTGACAAAAACTGCAGTCAATCCAACTGTTAAAAGATACGGCGGTTGCGTGGAGCGGGGAGCGCGGCCGGGGCGGCGGGGCCGGGTCGGTCCCGGGGCCGATGCCCCGCCCGGGGCTCCGCGCCGCCGTCGGGGCGAGCCGGGGCCGCCTCCGCCGCTCGGGGCTCCGCGGGCACCGGGCAGAGCCCTGCGCGGCCCGGGCAAGGGCACGGCGGAGGGAACCGGGGCAGAGCCGCGTCCCGCCGGAGCCCCGCCGCTCTCCTCCCGGCACCGCCGGAGCGGCCCCGGCGGTACCGGCCCGGTCCGCGCCGCCGCCCGCTCCCGGTGCCTCGCAGCCCGGCGCGGCTCCGCGGGCACCCGGAGCGCGGTGCCGAGCGGGGCAGCGGGGCTCCTGCCTCCGTCTGCCTGGAGGAGGGGGGCTGGGGAGGATAAATAATTAAAAGGCGAGGAATAATTACCGGCTCGGGTTGCCGTCATTGCGGGAAGGCCGAGCCGCAAGGCCCGGCCGGCAGCGCCCGGTCCGCGTCCCCCCCGACGGAGCGTCCCGGGGGGAGCCGCGGCCGCCGTCCCGCGTGGGAGCGCGGCCGGAGCTCGGCTCGGCCGCGGAGGACGAGGGTGGCTCCGCACCCGCGTTTCGCTCCGCGGCGGCTCCGCCGCACCCTGCCGGTGCCGCCGGTGATGGCGGGGAAGGAAGGCGCGGGGGCACACACAAAAGTGATAGCTGGGGGCGATCCGCGCCGTTATTAACTTCTGTTTGATCGCCGTAATTGCGCCGATCGCGGCCGGACGCGATGATTAATTACAGTTTAATTAACGTGGCCGTGACGAGCGCCGCATGCGGGAACCCAACCCGGGCAGAGATGCGGCGAGAGGCCCCCGCCACGCCGGCACGGCCGGCGGACACCGGAGCGCCGGGTGCCCGAAGCCGCTCCGCCGGTCCTGCCGGCCGGTCCTGCCGGTGTGGCGTGAGCCCCCACGGGGAACGAAAAACACGAGCTCGCCCCCTTCTGCCCCCTCCTCCCGGCGATTTCGTTGCCGCCCGGTGTCCCCCCCTCGGCACCGGTACCGCTCCCGCACCCGCGCCCCGCACCGGAGAGCGCATCCCGGCTGCGAGGGGGATGCGCGGTAGGAGCGCATCCCCGATTTCGATGGGGTCCCTCCGCCGCTCTCCCGGGGCTCCTCTTTTCGTTACCGCCCGCTCCCCACGCAAACTTTCAACGAGCATCGCTCCCCCCGGGATAGCGGCACGGCGGGAGGCGGGCGCGGGGGGGGACACGGGGGCGCGGAGCCCCACGCAGGTGCGGTGCGGGGCTGATCCCCGCTCTTACCTCGGGCAGCCCGGGCGGGTCCCCGCTCGGTGGCGGCCCCCACGCCCTCCCCCCGCTCCCGCTCCCTCCCCGTTCCGCCGTGCCTTAAAGCCGCGCCGTGATTGACTGGAGCGCATCGGTGATTGACGGCGGCGGGGTCCCGGAGGCCGTTAATGTAAATATGCTGGTGCTAAGTGGGTGTGTCTTCCCGTTATTTTAGCTGTCACCGGATCAATGTGCAGCGTCTCCAAGTACGGATCCGGATCCTCCCTCGGTGGCGCGGCTGGTCACTCGCTCTTGTTGCATCTCGCCCGGGCGGACGCGGCGGCGGCGGGGCGGGCGGCGGCCCCGAGGCGTCGGTGAAGGGCGCGCCCGCTGCCCGCCCGCCCCGCGGCTCCGGCTGCCCCGGGACCGGGCTCGCTGCGGACGGGCCCCCCCGGCCGATGGCGGCCCCGGCCCCGGGCTGCGGCCCCTAGTCCCGAGCACGTCCAGCCGGGCTCCGCGGCGCGGTGAGTGCGAGCGGGCGGCGGATGGAGGGGTGCGCATGGGGATGGGGGGTGGGGGGGGCGCAAAGCGGGGCGCGTTTTCGGGACTGGCTCCCCGTTATTTTGTGTAATTACCACGGAAGCGGCTTAAGCACCGGGAGCTCTCCCCGCTAAGCCAATTTGCCCGGCTCGCTGCTGCCCTTCTGCTACGTGCGGCGGGCGCTGCCCGCCCCGGCCCCTAATCCGCCCGCGCCTAATCGCCTGCCGGGGACACGACAAAGGGGCTCCGGGCCACCGCGCCCGCCGCCGCGCTCCGCCCGCGGGCACCGAGCGCCAAGTTTGGGCCCGCCCGCTCCGGCGCGGGGCTCGGGCCCCCGGGACCGAGCATCCCCCGGCGCGTTTCGTTGGAGCGCGCCCGGAGCCCGCCGCAAACCGGCACGGCACGGCCCGGCGAGCCGGCACAAAGGGAAGGGACGCGGCACCTCCCGGCGACTCGGCGAGGGAGGAAGCGGAGGTGGTGACCCCCCCCCGGGCTGCCCTTGCCCCGGGCTCCCGGGACCGCTCAGCCGCGGGGCCGCGCCCGGCGGGCGGATGCGGCGGCGCTCGGTCCCGGCGGCCGCGGCGCGGGGGATGCGCTCCGGCCCCGCCGGACCCCGCCGGACCCCGGCGGTCGGGGAGGGTCCTGCGGCAGCGCCCGAGGGGCTCCGGGTCGGGGCCGGTAGCGCCGAGCGAGGAGCGGCCGGGCCGCGCAGCGGGGATCGGCCGGGCCGCGGAGCGGGGCCGCGGGAGCGGCGGGCCGGGAGCGGCGGCGGGGCCCCGGGAGCGCCTCTGACCCGAGCCTTTCCCCGATTTCGTTTTGCAGGGGCGTTTTGGGGGGGAATGGAGGCGATCGCCAGTCAGATGGGAAATGGGAGAGATGCAAGCTCCTCCCCAAATTCAAAGCAAGAGCTGCAGCCGTACCAGGGCTCCAATACCCTCAAGCCCAACCAAGTGGGTGAGACCTCCCTGTACGGCGTGCCCATCGTGTCTCTGGTCATCGACGGGCAGGAGCGGCTGTGCCTGGCGCAGATCTCCAACACGCTGCTCAAGAACTACAGCTACAATGAGATCCACAACCGGCGCGTGGCCCTGGGCATCACCTGCGTGCAGTGCACGCCGGTGCAGCTGGAGATCCTGCGGCGGGCCGGGGCCATGCCCATCTCCTCCCGCCGCTGCGGCATGATCACCAAGAGGGAGGCGGAGCGGCTCTGCAAGTCCTTCCTGGGCGAGCACAAGCCGCCCAAGCTGCCCGAGAACTTCGCCTTCGACGTGGTGCACGAGTGCGCCTGGGGCTCCCGGGGCAGCTTCATCCCGGCGCGCTACAACAGCTCCCGCGCCAAGTGCATCAAGTGCAGCTACTGCAGCATGTACTTCTCGCCCAACAAGTTCATCTTCCACTCCCACCGCACCCCGGACTCCAAGTACACCCAGCCCGACGCCGCCAACTTCAACTCCTGGCGCCGCCACCTCAAGCTCAGCGACAAGACGGCCACGGAGGAGCTGTCGCACGCCTGGGAGGATGTCAAGGCCATGTTCAACGGCGGCACCCGCAAGCGGACCTTCTCCCTGCAAGGGGCGGCCGCCGGCGGGCCCGGGGCCGGCTCCCCCGCCGCCAAGGCCGCCCTGCACCCGCCGCCGCCCGCCGGGCCCGAGCTGGCCCCGGCGCACAAGAGCCTCCGGTGCAGCGGGCAGGAGGCGGCGGGCGAGCGCGGCGCGCTGGGGCTGGCGGCGGCGCACGGCGGGGCCGCGGGCGCGCACGGCGGGGCGGGCGCGGTGCGCAGCTACCCGGTGATCCCGGTGCCCAGCAAGGGCTTCGGGATGCTGCAGAAGCTGCCGCCGCCGCTCTTCCCGCACCCCTACGGCTTCCCCGCCGCCGCGTTCGGACTGTGCCCCAAGAAGCAGGAGGAGGCGCTGGGCGGCGCGGGGGGCGGCGAGGCGGGCAAGGGCGGCGCGCTGCCCCCCGGCATGTTCTGGGGACCCCCGCACCCGCACCCGCACCAGCCGGCCCAGCCGCCGCACCAGCCCGGCGCCGCCAAGGACAGCGGCGTGTACCCCTCGTTCCCCGTGTTCTGGCCGGCCGCCGGCAGCCTGCCCGTGCCGCCCTACCCCGCGCAGAGCCCGGCCAAGGCGGCCGCCACCGCCGTGGTGGTGGCGGCGGCGGCGGCGGCGGCGGCGGCGGCGGCCGAGCCGGCGGGGCTGGCGGGGCGGCACGGGGAGCTGGAGGGCTCGGAGCCCTCGGGCAGCGGCCGGAGCAGCGCCACCCCGCAGGAGGGCGCGGGCGCCGAGGGCGAGCGCTGCCCCAGCGCCCTGTCGCGGGCGGCGGGCGAGGAGGAGCGCTCCGGGGACGAGGCGCTGCTGGCCCCGCTGCCGCTGCCCAGGAAGGGCAGCTACCTGTCCGCCTTCCGCCCGGTGGTGAAGGACGCCGAGAGCATCGCCAAGCTCTACGGCACCCGCGAGGCGTTCGGCGGCGCGGGGCCCCGCGGCCCCGGCTACCTCTCGCCGGACTTCCTCAGCGAGGGCAGCTCCAGCTACCGCTCGCTGTCCCCCGGCGGCGACACGGCCGAGGAGCCCGAGGTGGACGTGGAGTCCAACCGCTTCCCGGAGGACGAGGAGGAGGAAGCCGCCGCCGCGGGCCCCGCCGAGCCCCGGGAGCCGCCGCCGCCGCGGCTGCTGGCCGGGCCCGAGGAG